TGCACCAGGCCCGAGCACTTGTCTCATGCATCCAACCTGGGCTGGTGATCTGTTTCACCCTAGATAATATACATGTTTTGATGCTGTTCTCTCAAAATATCCCACCCTCGCCTTCTCCCACAGAGTTCAAAAGTCTGTTCTGTACACCTGTGTTTCTTTTTCAGTTTTGCATATAGGGTTATCATTGCCATCTTTCTAAATTCCATATATATGTGTTAGTATACTGTATTGGTCTTTATCTTTCTGGCTTACTTGAATCAGTTCTAATGAGATGGATGAAACTGGAGCCCATTATACTGAGTGAAGTAAGCCAGACAGTTTAAGATAATTATTGATAGGTATCGTCCTGTTACCATTTGGTTTGTATTTTTGGGTTCATGTTCATACAACCTTTCTGTGTTTCCTTCTAGAGAATATCCTTTAGCATTTGTTGAAGAGCTGGTTTGGTGCTGCTGAATTCTCTCAGCTTTTGCTTGTCTGTAAAGCTTTTGAATTCTCCTTCATATCCGAATGAGATCCTTGCTGGGTACAGTAATCTGGGTTGTAGGTTATTCTCTTTCATTACTCTAAGTATGTGCTGCCATTCCCTTCTGGCCTGAAGAGTTTCTATTGATAGATCAGCTGTTATCCTTATGGGAATCCCTTTGTGTGTTATTTGTTGTTTCTCCCTTGCTGCTTTTAATATTTGTTCTTTGTGTTTGATCTTTCTTAATTTGATTTTTATGTGTCTTAGGGTGTTTCGCCTTGGGTTTATCCTTTTGGGGACTCTCTGGGTTTCTTGAACCTGTGTAACTATTTCCTTCCCCATTTTAGGGAAGTTTTCAGCTATTATCTCCTCGAGTATTTTCTCATGGCCTTTCTTTTTGTCTTCTTCTTCTGGGACTCCTATGATTTGAATGTTGGGGCATTTCACATTGTCCCAGAGGTCCCTGAGGTTGTCCTCATTTCTTTTGATTTTTTTTTTCTTTTTTCCTCTCTGCTTCATTTATTTCCACCATTTTATCTTCTACCTCACTTATCCTATCTTCTGCCTCTGTTATTCTACTGTTAGTTCCCTCCAAAGTGTTTTTGATCTGACTTATTGCATTATTCATTTTTAATTGGCTGTTTTTTACTTCTTCTAGGTCTTTGCTAAACATTTCTTGCATCTTCCCAATCATTGTCTCAAGGCTATTTATCTGTAACTCCATTTTGTTTTCAAGATTTTGGATCATTTTTATTATCATTATTCTAAATTCTTTTTCAGGTAGATTCCCTATCTCCTCCTCTTTTGTTTGGGTTGGTGGGCATTTTTCATGTTCTTTAACTGCTGGGTATTTCTCTGCCTTTCAACTTGTTTAGATTGCTGTGTTTGGAGTGGCTTTTCTGTATTCTGGTGGTCTGTGGTTCCTTTTTATTGTGGAGGTTTCTCCCAGTGGGTGGGGTTGGACGATTGGCTTTCAAGGTTTCCTGGTTGGGGAAGCTTGCGTCTGTGATCTGGTGTGTCAAACTGGAGTGCAATGGAGTGTCCAGTAGTGAGTTTGAGATGGTCTATGTGCTTGGTGTGACTTTGGGCAGCCTGTATGTTGACACTCAGGGCTATGTTCCTGCATTGCTGGAGAATTAGCGTGGTATGTCTTGCTCTGGAACTTACTGGCTTTTTTCCCTCCACAGTGAGGGACACCCAGAGAGGTTCAGAGAGTTACATGAAGAAGAGGAGAGGGAGGAGGGAGATAGAGATGAGCAGGAGGTGAAAAAGGGAGACTCAAGAGGAGAGAGACAGATCTATGCAGTACTCTGTTCCCTAAGTATTCTCCGTAGCCCAGAACACCCACAGAGATTCACATAATTAGAGTGAGGAGAAAAGGGGGAGGGAGGAAATATAGGTGATCTGGGAGAGAAAAAGGAGAGTCAAAAGGGGAAGAGAGTAATCATCACACTCCTGAGTAAAAATGGGTACTGAATATTGGATTCTTAAATGTCCAAAATTGATATCAAAAACTGAAAAACAAATATTAAAAATCTAGAGTAGAGGTTAGACTCTTAAAAATATAATATTAAAAACAAAAGCAAAAACCCCAAAAATTTAAGAAATATATACGAAGTTCACTTTAAAAATAAGATATTTTTGGTTTTGCAACATTATAGTGAAATGAAAATGAAAATTAAGGAGTAATAGAGGACTTTAAAAGAAAATTAAAAAATTAAAATTAAGGAGTAATAGAGGAGTAATAGGGGATTTTTAAAGAAACTAAAAGAAAATATTTTTTTAAAAGAAAAAAAAAATTTTAATTAAAAAAAAAGTTAAAATATATCTAGGAATTTTTCTGGAGCTGTTGTGGGCAGTGTGAGTTCAGTTCAGTTTCAGATAGCTCCTTGTTCCAACTTACACTTCTCAATATCTATAGGGCCCTTCCGGTGTAGTCAGTGTTAACTACAGGGATTTTAACCTGTTGCACCTGTCACTTCTGAAGCGGTTCCATTTGTTTATTTGGCTTCTGTTTGCAGGTCTCTTCAGTGTCTAATTTCTGCCTTGACACAAGCGGGCAGAGGTGGTCTCTTGTTTGGGTTCGCTATTCAGTCGTGCTGTGGGGAGGGAGGAGCACTGCAGACAAATGTCACTGGCCTGTGTGGGAGCACTCGCAGTGTTCCAGCCACACTGGATTTGCCCCCGCTCACGGCTGTGTGCTTTCCCCGTCTATACTGTTTAGGCTCCCAGCTGCTCTATAGGGACCGGGCCCTGAGTTGCGTGGGGTTCCAGTTTTCGGGTACTCCACAAAAGTGCAGACTCAGTTGGGCCTGCATTTTGTGTCTTCCCCACCCGAGCGGCTCAGGCAGCCAGGAGCTTGAGGAGAACACTCTCTCCGGGTGCGGTACGCTTTCTCCCCTCCATGGTCCCAGCCTCTGTTTCTGCGCGCCCCAGCCTGGTACGCCTTGTGTCTGTTCTGGGGAGCTGGTCTCGAGTTGCGACCCTCCCACCAGATGACAACCATCCAGAATCTCAGGAAGTCTTTGGTTAGAAATTGGAAGCGTGTTTACAGTTTGGTAGGGGATGCCATCTCTGGGGCGGAGTTTGCCCCTTTTCCCCTCCCCTCTGCCTCCTGCCTCTGGCGGGGGATGGGCTGGTCCGCTACCGGCTAGCTCTTCTCTGAAATTCCTCAGTCTTTCCTTTCTTTTGTGAACAGGCCAGCAGTGTGTTCGGTTAGCGCTTTTTGCCAGTTAATTTTCTCTCTCTCTTGATATCCTGTAGTTTAAGTTGCTATCTCATGTTAGCTCCCTCCAATTGCCCTCAGGGCATTCAGGTGCAGTTCTTACCCTAAGCAACGCCACCTGCTCCTCTCTGTTCAGCCCCTACTTGCTGGTGGCGGGTGCAAGCATCTGGGGTACTTTTCTCCTAGGAGTTGCTTTTAGGCATGAAATCTGTGGGTTTTATTTATTTCCCCCCCCAGATAGGTTGTCCTTCAAGATTTGAAAACTTCCCCCAGACCCGCCAGTGAGAGGGTTTCCTGGTGTTTGGAAACTTCCTCTATTATGACTCCCTTCCCGGGACGGGTCTCCATCCCTACATCTTTTGTCTCTCTTTTTATGTTTTCTAATTTGTCCTACCTCATTTCAAAGACAATGGGCTGCTTTTCTGGGCGCATGATGTCCTCTGCTAGCAATCAGAAGTTGTTTTGAGGAGTTTGCTCAGCATTTAAATGTTCTTTTGATGAATTTGTAGGGGAGAAAGTGGTCTCACTGTCTTATTCCTCCACCATCTTAGCTCCTCCTTTTGTTTCTTTTTTTAAAAGAAACAAATCTTTCATCTGCTGTTTTTATGTAAATGTACACATCTCTGGTATATTTATATGTCTTTAATTTTTAATAATGAAATGTTGGTGTCAAAAATGAAGATATACTGAATGTTCATGATATGCTACATGTTGCATTTAGTAAAACAGTGTTACTTTACACATATTAAGTAATTTCTTCATTGTAGTCTATTCCTATTATATTAAAAATATATTTCCAGGATTACTGCAGTCTTTTCAAAAACCCATTTCTCATCCTGTGTTTTTGACAGAAAAGGGAGAAAAGTTACCTCCATTGTTATTACTACATTGCCATGATACAGTACTTTGTAATTTAAAGTTCGTGAGCCATAGCTCTTTACTCTTCTTTCTTGTCTATTAGTCTCCCATCATTTTAACAGTAGAAACAAGTGTGTCTGCAATGCCTGAGAGTGAAATGTTGAGCCTTCTCCAGAATTTCTAGAACAAGAACCAGAACAACAATACTAGTAAACATCTACTGAATGTCTACCGCATGCTAGGAATGCCTCTAAGAATCAGTAAAATATTCTCAAAATAATTAGATGAGGTACTGTCCCTAGCCATTTTATATAACAATGAAAAACTGAGGAACAGGTTCTTTCATGATTGAGTACTCCAAAGTAAAATTAAAAGTTTAAAAAATAAAAAAGTTTTAAAACGTTAATAAAATCATTTTTTTTTTTAATCTGAGGAACAGAAAGAATAAAAAAACAGCCAACAAAGTAAGAGTCAGGAATCAAACTGACTCAATCTACTTCCACACTTTCAACCACCATTTCACTAATGTAAGATCAGCCCTGTCTGGACATGTCTCCAAACGTCATCATTGATTTATCTGCTATATCTGGATTATAACATTTTGAAATACATCTACCAGGTCTATCAACAATTCTTTATGAGATAATTCAAACTTTGGATGAACATATTACTAATTTCTTTTCTTTTATTTCCCTTTGGGACAGCTCATTCCATTCTTCAGAATGCACAATCTTGTTCTCTCCCATTTTCTTTCTTTCCTTTGTAGCTTGAAATGCTATACATTTAAGATATCCTATTCCTTAAGATAATATCTCAATAATCACCTCAGGGAAAATTATCTATTTTTCTTCCACTCTGTGTTGCACTCTTTGTTACCATCTGAAAGAAAATTTCACATATTTGTCTATTATAGCTCATTCCATAAATGGTCACTGTTTGATTTTCCTTCAGCTACAAAGAGAATGTGATGAGATTATCAGCCATTCAACATGATCAGCCGATGAAGCCCTTGGACAGAGCAGTCTTCTGGATCGAGTTTGTCATGCGCCATAAAGGAGCCAAGCACTTGCGGCCAGCCACCCACGACCTCACCTGGTTTCAGTACCACTCTCTGGATGTCGTCGGGTTCCTGCTGGCCTGTGTGGCAACTGCCATGTTTGTCATCACAAAATGTTGTCTGTTTTGTTGCTGGAAGTTTGCTAAAACAGGAAAGAAGGGGAAAAGAGACTAACTGTATCTGAGACTTCAACACAGGGGTCCCCAACCTCTGAGATCTAATGCCTGATGATCTGAGGTCGAGCTGATGCATTAATAGAGATAAAGTGAGCAATAAAGGCATTGTGCTTGAATCGTCCCTAAACCATTGCTTCCGACGCCAGTCCATGAAAAAATTGTCTTCCACAAAACCAGTTCCTGGGGCCTAAAATGTTGGGAACCGCTGCTCTAGCAGCTCTGCCTCATAAATAGGACTCCTCCATAAAACAAAGTGCGTATGTATTGAAATTTATTATTTTAATGCAAAAGTTGTATTAAAAAGATATGATTCAATTTATCGGTTTTTCAAAAGTTGGGTGTAGAAACAAGAACAATAAAAGTTTATTCATAGTATCCATATTACTTTGTAGATAGAATTTTACCTTCATTTTTGTATAGAATTTTATAGCTTTTCCTTGCTATAGATATTGTTCAATAATTGGAATTCTTTTGATATATTCACCCTTTAATTTTATTTGTGAGGCCACTAATAGTTCTTCATTTTTACTATGCATCCAGCGTCAACATCACTTCTTACCTAAAGCCATGGCAATACACTTGCCTTCATCCAGTTAAACTCCTTTGCCTTTGGAGTGTTTGTGAAATTAGAAGTATAGCAACTGCTATTTGCTTCCTTTTATAAAATTGAGATATTTGCAAAAATTTTTAATTTCATGAACTAACTCTCTTTTTGTCATCCACCTTTTATTCACCTATTATTTTCACTCCCATCAGCCTTCACTAATGAATACAAGTTCTCAACTGTATGTTTAGAAGATTTTAACCTGAACTCTAAAGGGACTTTTGAATTTTCATTCTCTCCAAAGCTACCTGAATATATCTATGATCTTATCTATATCTATATATAGAGATAAATCTATGTATATTTTTACAATTCAGGACACAGCACCACTTAGCTACTTGCAGATATGATGAAAAATTCAATGGGTTTGTTGAACACAGACTGAATTATTTACTATTATATTATAATATGGGCTTCCCTGGTAGCTCAGCTGGTAAAGAAACCACCTGCAATGCAGGAGATCCCGGTTTGATTCCTGGATTGAGAAGATTCCCCTGGAGAAGGGATAGGCTACCAACTCCAGTATTCTTGGGCTTCCCTGGTGGCTCAGATGGTAAAGAAACTGCCTGCAATGAAGGAGATTTGGGTTTGATACCAGGTTGGGAAGATATCCTGGAGAAGGAAACAGTTACCAGCAGGCCAGTACTTTGGCCTCGAGAATTCCATGGGCAGAGGAGCCTGGGAGGCTACAGTCCATGGGGTCCCAAAGAGTTGGACATGACTGAGCAACTTTCACTTTCATATTATTGTATACCATAACCACACTTTAGATCAGCATTTATCATTCTTTTGTCTCTTTCCTCAGGAAGCTACTGTGTTGACCCTCTCATAACACTTACATGTAAACATTCAATCCTTTATCATGACAAAATATTGTAGACATTATTTTCTTTAAACCTAGGTCCATTATGACTGAAATAATCAGAAACAATGAGCACAGTACAAAAATCACATAAATTTTGTAAAAAGTTGGTGAACCAAATGAAGACAATCTGAAGGTACTGATGAAAACTGTACATCAGGAAAGCAGTTACAATCAAAATGTCCAGGTGATGGAATGAGTCTTGTCTTGTTGGTCAATGGGATCACCATCCACAACATATAAAAAACATTCATCAGCCTTAGGCATAATTTATTTTAAAAAGGAAACATTGATGTTCAGGGAATTATAGGAACTTTTACCATAGTATTTTCCATAGAACACACCTAGGTAATTGACATATATTTAAAGAAAAGTAGAGCTAACAGAAAAGTAAGAAGGTAGAACCATATGTTTCTGTAGGAGAAAATGTTTTTAAATCAAGCATATAGGATTACACAATTTTCCTCAAATCTACACGCTGGCACTTTTAATAGACAAAGGGTTGGTAGTCACTGTGCAATAAGAAAGAGTACAAATCACCAAAGAAAATTCTAGCAGTCCAATATGAAAATAAATGAAAAGTATGAACAGCAGACTCACAGAAGCGAAATGGCCAATTATATATAAAAGGTGACATAGAAAATCTGGGAAATTGAAATTGTCAACAAGCAGTATTCCTACAAATAATTTGTAGAACAAATAAACAGGTATGACTAATTTTAAGGGAGTATAATTTGGAAATACCATTTAAATAAAATTTATGCACACTGTTTTATCTTATCTGTCATGCAGAAAGACTTGCGCATATTCACAATTACATACTGAATATTCCTACTAGCACTTAAATGGCTATCAATTTGTTAACACACTTATCTACAACATAGGTGTGAGTTATACAGCCGTGAAAGAAAACAGGTAATTATGGTCAATATCGTTATTAAATACTCTCCATGTCACATTCCTAAACAAAAAAAAAGGTCCAGAAATTCTAAAAAAAAAAAAAAAAAAAATAAGCATTACACTCTTCTCTAGAAATAAAATTAAACATATTTTATGTAAATAAATGTAAATTTGTAGACCAAAGAGGAAACCATCTTTAGAATGCATTGAATTTCCAACAACTTCCAGATGCTCAAGGTGGTTTTAGAAAAGGCAAAGGAACCAGAGATCAAATTGCCAACATCCTCTGGATCATTGAAAAAGCAAGAGAGTTCCAGAAAAACATCTATTTGTGCTTTATTGATTATGCCAAAGCCTTTAACTGTGTGGATCACAATAAACTATGGGAAATTCTTCAAGAGATGGGAATACCAGACCACTGACCTGCCGCTTAAGTAACCTGTATGCAGGTCAGGAAGCAACAGTTCGAACTGGACATGGAAAAACAGGCTGGTTCCAAATAGCAAAAGGAGTATGTCAAGGCTGTATATTGTCACCCTGCTAATATAACTTATATGTGGAGTATATTATGAGAAACGCTGGGCTGGATGAAGCACAAGCTGGAATCAAGATTGCAGGGAGAAATATCAATAATCTCAAATATGCAGATGACACCACCCTTATTTGCAGAAAGTGAAGAGGAACTAAAAAGTCTCTTGATGAAAGTGAAAGAGGAGAGTGAAAAAGTTAATTAAAGCTCAACATCCAGAAACTAAGATCATGGCATCCAGTTCCATCACTTCATGGGAAATAGATGGGGATGGGGAAACAGTGGAAATAGTGGCTGGCTTTAATTTTGGGGGCTCCAAAATCACTGCAGATGGTGATTGCAGCCATGAAATTAAAACACGCTTACTCCTTGAAAGGAAAGTTATGAACATCCTAGATAGCATAATAAAAAGCACAGACGTTACTTTGCCAACAAAGGTCCATCTAGTCAAGGCTATGGTTTTTCCAGTGGTCATGTATGGTTATGAGAGTTGGAATGTGAAGAAAGCTGAGCACGGCTGAATTCATGCTTTTGAACTGTGCTGTTGGAGAAGACCCTTGAGAGCCCCTTGGGACTGCAAGGAGATCCAACCAGTCCATCCTAAAGGAGATCAGTCCTGGGTGTTCATTGGAAGGACTGATGCTGAGGCTGAAACTCCAATACTTTGGCCACGTCATACAAAGAGTTGACTCACTGGGAAAAGACCCTGATGCTGGGTGGGATTGTGGGCAGGAGGAGAAGGAGACAACAGAGGATGAGATGGCTGGATGGCATCACCGACTTGATGGACATGAGTTTGTGTAAACTCTGGGAGTTGATGATGGACAGGGAGGCCTGGCGTACTGCAATTCATGGAGTCACAAAGAGTCGGTCACGACTGAGAGACTGAACTGAACTGAACTAAACTGGACTGCAACACTGACTGACTGACAGTAGTTTAGAGTATCTTTTATTAACAATATGTTGGATTAACATTGTCAAAATGGAAAATAGTTAAGCGATCCAGTATGAATTTTGATATTACAAAGGGATTGTGGGCAGGAAGATAAACCATCACATTCTGCTTTGTCATTTGTTCCTTTTCATTGAAGGACACTTGAGCACACAGTAAACATACAAATATTCTCAGGAATTAAATTTTAACAGTAAGTGCAGTAGCACAAAGACATTGTGCAATGCTGATAATAGTCTGGAATGCATCATGCAGGTTTTACCTGTCAGATATTCCTGGCCCCTTTCACCTCCCCTAAATTTTAAAGCACCCTGTCAGAGTGCCTTTGCAAGGTGCTGTTCAGAGAAAGGATGGTCAGGGCTCCCCAAGAGACCTCCAGATCCCATCCAGGCACAGTGACTTAGAGAAAGAGAAACATCAGTCTCCCCAGTAACTTGGTTCTCCCAAATTCTGAATCAGAAAGACCAAAGAGAAGAATGGGTCCTGCCCTTAAGTGAACTATGTGCATTTTAAGGTCTGACCCTTAATGGACTCTGCTTCTACCCTGTCATATGGCTCCTCCTGATTGAGGAGGCAGAGGGACTGTAAGAAGGAATCAAGCATATGGAAACTGCCATGGAAAAGATTCAGCAGCCTCTTTCTCCATCAAATAGAGTGGTATCTTATTTTCTAATACATAAATTTCCCCTGGGGTCTTTGGATAATTTGAACTGCTTTTATAATTTGCTATCTTATATGGTAATCTTCTCCTATTGACTTATGCTGTTTCTTTGCTGATAGAGTTACTTTACATTCCCAGAGCAAATAGATGTTAAACACTATAAATTATAATTCAATGTATGAGAACTGATTTGAAATTCCAAAATCCATACCTTACTTTTGTACTGGGCATAGGAACTACAAGATTGCCACTGTCACTCCCATGTGGTTCAGTGTTAATGTGCTCATGGTCAGCTCAATAAATTTTATTACCCCTTAAAGTAATGAAAGAGAATAACCTACAACCCAGATTGCTGTACCCAGCAAGGATCTCATTCAGATATGAAGGACAATTCAAAAGCTTCACAGACAAGCAAAAGTTGAGAGAATTCAGCACCACCAAACCAGCTCTTCAAAAAATGCTAAAGGATCTTCTCTAGACTGGAAACAAA